AAATAATGTCGTTACTCATTTCTCATTAATTTTACTAAAATAAGAACAGTAAATGAGTTGCAGTAATTTTTTCCTTTTTAATTTAAGAAAAAAAGTCAAGATCATCAAAATCGCTGAAGACAATATACAAAGAAAAAAAATTAATTCAGCATAAAATGATCCAGTTTCATATTTAATTCCTTCAATTGATCTATCCAAAAATTTACTGGATTACTTTCATAACAATGGAATGCTTTTTGAAATCAGAAGGCAACACCTTAATTCATTCGGTTGTTCTCGAGAGTAAAAATCGTTTTGGTATTAGTATCACAAAATTATTTAGTGGTATATCTTTTACTTTTCTTCTCAGCGACTAAATCCTCCAAAATTTATTGTCAAAAAGCTTAGAAAAATGGGCAACAACTTACCTATGCAAAGACAATCTAGGATTCTTGCAAATAAATGTCACAGCAAGTTGCTGAATGTCAGAATTTCTATTGGTCAGAAAATTGAAGTAAATGTCCAAAAACATCCGACCGAATATTTTCGTAATTCTTTGGACTTATTATTACTTTGCGGTACTAAAGACGGAAATTTGTCTAACAGTTTCAAAAATGAAACCAATAATCTGTAACAATGCACAAAGAAGGCGTTAGAATTGAATTTTACGAAAATGAACACGAAGCCAGACAGCTGAACACCAACTTATTTAAATTATGATCTGGTTTCAGCTTTTTTTTTTGAAGATTTTTCAGAATTATCTTCAGTGTCGGCGTTCTCAGTGTCTGAAAGTTCTTCGTCCATCTTCTGGACATCGATCGAAGTCTTGTACTCGAAGGTAGTCTTGTATTCAGAACTAAAAATACGAATAAATTATTACTATCTGTCCATAGAAACGAATGAGAACTGTATGTAGAAGAAAATCGAACTTTATAAATTTAAGAAATAGTTTCACAGCAAAACATTCCGACGTGAATTTCACATGACTGGCACTGAGCAAAGATTCCAGCAAAAGGTTTCGAAAATTGTAGAAATCAGGTCGGTCGTCAACGCCATTAAGTTCATAAAAATGTTCACTGATGCAGTCAGCTAAAATATGGGAAAATACGTTGAATAAATTCGCAAAAAACCAAAAATACTAGTGGATACAGAAGCTAAGGGAGCAGAGAATACAAGAGAGGAAAGCAAGTAGCACACATTTTGGACAAATAAAAAAAAAGATCGTCTGATTATCAGGTTTGGGAAAACTTTCGACCAATAGGGGAAGGAAAAAGGAGAAAGTTGACAGAAAATCATACTTAAACTTAGAAAAAAGGTAGGGAACAACCAAAAACAAATGAATTATAAGATACCTTCAAAGTTCACAGAAAAATCTTGCATCATTTTCAGCTTATCCAAAATATTGACAACTGAATCCTCCAGCTCATCTTGCACAGTAGGCCAAATAGATTGGTTATTCTCTAGATGAGATTTGATCAGTTTCTGCGTAGGTTCCCACAAGTATTGGAAATTTATGAATAAATTGCCAAACAAAAATTTCATCACAGCAACGCTGCACGACGCCAACTCATCACTGTACTCCAATTGTTGGAGTAAATTCAACTTTTCACGATAATTTCCAATCGATGGAATAATCATTTCAACGTTCAGCATCGTTTGAAACACTTCATTGCTTTCCATTTCTGCCAAAACTTGTAAGGTAAATAATCGTACCTGAAAAAATTCATTCATAAGTTATTTCAAAAAATGAATTGGAAAATACCAAAAATGAGAGCTCTGTACCTTGTGAAACGGAGAGCTTAAATTGTTGATTAACAAGTCTCTGTTGTAGTACAAAGGTTTCATATCATTTGGAACCTTCTTTAACTGGAGCAGTCTCAATGAGCAAAGGTAATTGCACGAATTAACATATTTCATGGCTGTTTCGAAAATATGATCGAGGTTCACTTCAAGGAAATCCGAGCATTTTGAACGATAATGATACGCCATCAGTAAAGTGTATAAAATTTTTGCAGTGTTTTCTTCGTTTTCATCCTTATCCTTGATGATTAAGCAAAGCTGGGCAATCGCATAATCAGTTTTCTTGCAAAACGATTCACGACATTTTTCTACACCAGACAAGATTAAAATTGCAGACAAAATCTCTTCCACAGAAGAAGACGTAATTTCTTTTGATTTATCTGGAATACAATCCAATAGATATTGGTAAAATGAGTCAGGAACTGACCTAAAAAACACCAAAAATTAACTCGTTAGATGAAAATAATCGCTACTACAAGCGGTGAATTGAAAAATAGTTTTTTACTTCAAGCAATCATAATAGAATTTCAATTTATGATTTTCGTTTTCGCTGACTAAGAAGTTCGTTTTCATCCAGATGATTTTCACCAGGAATTGAAGTAAAAACTTATTTAATTTTCTTGTTCGGAACCATTTAAGGAATTCTTCAAAAACGAGCTTTTCATAAGCTGGAAGCTCAATGAGTACTTCACAAAATTGAACGAGCAACACCTCATTGTCAATGTTCTCTGCAATCTAAAATCAGAAAAAAATAATAATAAAATACGAAAAATGCACTAAAGGAATTGCATTTTTTTCTAAATCAAATACTCGTCAGAATTAAATTATGAGATTCCTGTCTGCACCTTTTTAGAGAAAAAACTATTCCTAAAGACACTGGGTTGTTTTTGTAGAAAAATACGATTAAAACGAACCTTCATTATTATGTCAGTCGTATTTTTGATTTTAAGAGATAAACGTTCCTCACTGAGGATATACGACAAGATATCGATAATTATTCCATGTAACTGATTGAACTTCCGAACTTCAGGATCTTTCCCCAATTGTAAGAGAAATGCTACGAATTTTTCCGGATCCCTCAGGATGAGTTCTCTGCTAGTCACCAGTTGTTGGGCGATTTTCAAAATCATGTATAAATTGCATGCATTATGCTCATCTCGATGCTTCACCCATAGGGCTGAAAATTTGTTACCCACATTCTGAAAATACACGAATAATATTAATTTCACTCTGGAAACATTCGTGGGCTGAATTTTATTTACTTACGATAAAAGTCTTCCAAATGACAGAAACATCCGTTTTCGTTGACACGAATCTGGTAATATCAGAGATCAAATTTTCACAAATAATCAACAACAGTTCAGACCATTCTCTATTATCTAACTCTTCAAGTAGTAGGGTCAAGAAATCTTCAGTACAACTGTGAAACTGTTGAGCCACACTTCTTATGACTTCGAAGAATAATCTTGCCACGCCGACTAGCTCCTGAAATTAATAAAATTCTAATCAAAGGAAAAATCGAAGAAACACGACAACGAGCAGGCAAATTACGTACATCACGATTTTTTTTCACATTCTTCAAAATCAACTCGACGAATCTCGCTTGTCTCTCACTTTACGAGCTACAAAAGCGAAACTTTCAGCAGCAAACTCGTTGATGTATTTTGGTCTGGAACTGCTGAGCAAAGGTAACAAATGTGGCAAAACATTGCTGATTTTTCTTACGATATGTACCCACAGGTACTTGAAGAGATGAGCAAGGCAATTGAAAACGCATTCGATTTGTTCTGGTTCTCGAGAATTCAATAACTCTACACATTCTGGTAGGATTTGAAGGTGAAAAAATGGATAAAAATCTTCACCTAGGTCTCGTGCGATGGCAACTAATAATCTGTAACATGTTATCAATATTAATCGTACACAGAAGTAATCCTATTTTAGTCGATAATACTAAGTTAACTCACTCTAAAGCTGGAGGTAACGCTTCCAAATCGCAGGATTTTATATGACTAATCAAAATATCTACTAGTTTTTGTTTCTGAACGATCAGCTCGGGTAAAGAAACATCGTGAGGGAGAACTTTACATAGTTCTGTAAACTCAGCCGAGAAATTATCATTTTTTAACCGTTTCAAACATCGAGAATAAAAGGTTCCATTCTCTTCGTCCTCTTCTTCATAAGGATGCTTTACTTTATGAAATACGTTGACCTCAATTTGAGAGATTCTTTCGGAGAACGATTGAAACTGGAAACAGAAGTTGTCGGAAACAAAACGAATTTATAGAATTCGGTCAAGTTGATCAGAAATATCAGAATGTATGATAGAACCAAGCGAATGCTTACTTTGAATGTGTTCGATGCTTTGTGTCGCTTAGGTGTATGTTTCATGATGAAAATGGAACTGATGGATCGTATTCTATCAACTATTTTTCAGGAATTATACCTGACCAATAAAAAGCAGAAAGATAGCTAAAAATGAGTTTCTTCACTCAACTCCATCAAAATTCGAATGCCGAATGCGATCTTCGAGAAAGATGACAGGACAAACGAGCACATGTCTGGAT